CTCAATTCGAGCTTCTGGCCGACATCCCGAGTCAACGGACGTGGTCACATACGATCATCAAAGTCATTTGTGATGTCAACTTTGAAAACAAAGTAGAACTGAACGTACTGAAGAATTTGATGAAACGACATTTCACGGACCACGGCTTTCACTGCCTTCAAGATTTCATTCGGTTGTCCGGAGACGGAAAGTGGCCCTCCGAGGACACATTCCAGGAACGCATGGAAGCGTGCTTTTGGAGCTTTGACGGCCCCGGTCTCCGGCCCTCGACTTTGTACCGCAAGCTGTCATCGATTGCACAAAGCGTGTGGCGAAACTACCACGTCCCGTGGGACCAGCCGTTGACCAGTCCAACGTCAATCGCACCGCTGTGGCCCATGTCCGACATTCATGGCATTGTGCCGTTCCACGCGTGGCCCAAGGAGACGGTCAAGTACATGAGCGTCATGGCGCCACAACGCAAGAAGCCTCACCCGATGATTACACCCGCTCGCCCATCCGACGAGGCGGTTATCGACTACCTCAAGCGTGTACGCCGCCTCCGTCCATGGGGTATGCCGGTACAGTATGACGTCTGGTTCCGCGCGATGATGAACATCCTCCCAACGGGCTCCAAGTTCCGCTTCAAGGACACGCAGGACCCGGACACTACCAAGTGCCCATACGCGCGTTGCCAGTCGCTCGAAACGCCACGTCATGTCCTCCACGATTGTATCTGCGTCCGAGCCCTTTGGCAAGCTCACCGTCCAGCGTGGCGGAAGCTAGGCGTGGATCTGTCGTGGGACATGTGCATGGACGTCGACCGGATCGAGCCGCCCGCGAACCTCGCGAACCTCAAGGAGCCCATAGTCCAACTGGCGAGCAGCCTTGTCATGATCATCGTCCACAAGTTGTGGACGCACCGCAATAAAGTCGTACACCAAGACGCCGGAGGGCCGCAGATCGACAGGATGGTGCACGAGACTGTGATCCAGTGGTCCGGCTTTGTCCGCACAGCTTTCCGTGACCCCGATCGGCCTCTACAAAGCAAGACGCGAATCGCAACGATTGTCGCTATCCTCTGCGAAGACAACAAGTACGCAGAAGCCCAAGCCTACAATGACGGTATATTCAGCTCCCTCGCGCTTCCTCGCCGACTCCCTCGCACCCTCGCAGCGGAGCTCGACGCACTCAACTAGCACGACAGCGTCAAGTGTCCACCGTCCAACACGTCTCAGCCATCGATGCGACTAGCCATCGCAAATTCAGCCAAGCAAACAACAGTGTCCAAACACCAAGCTAACGACGTCCTACCCGCGAAATCAAGTGAGCACCCCCCGTGTACCTTCGGGTGCTGCAGCTCCAGATCGACCCAAGGTCGCATCCAAGTGGAGCTACGCAACACGGGTCTGGCTCACGGCCGCGAAAACGCCAACATGGCCCTCCGGTGCATCATAGGCGAATACGTCAACATGACAATGACAATGTGTCTGGTGCAACCCACTGGGTGCAACCGACTCTACTAAAGGACTACCAAGTCCATGGGCCTCGTCCAGTTGCAAGCGGTTCGTCTGTCGATGCTGGCTCCAGCACCAAGTACGTCTCGGAGTAGCTGATGGGCAGTCGACTTGCCGGTACTCGTAACCACAACACTCGGTTCCAACGACGTTGCTGCTGTCGATACCTGCTTCATCAATTGCATAGTTCATTCGTGTCGAGCACTCGATCGTAGATTTCATTGAGAGGTTTACGTGGCCGTTTACATGGCGGGAAACTCCTTGAAGAACTCGATCGAGATGCGCTCGAGGTGCACGACGACCTCGGCCATGCCCGCGATGAAGCCCGTCTCGTGGTATGGGATGTCGTACTGCTTGCAGAGCGACTTGACGAGCACGTTGAGCGCCGGGAGGTTGTGCCGGGGCACCATCGGGAACAAGTGGTGGTCGATCTGGTAGTTGAGGCCGCCCATGAACCAGTCGATCCAGAGCGACGACGTCACGTTGCGCGTCGAGAGCACTTGCAGCTTCCAAAAATCGGGCTTGCTGTCCTTGTCAAAGACCTCCATGCCGTTGTGGCCGACGCTAAAGACCATCGCGAGGAAGAGGCCGCACGACGCCTGGCTCACAAAGAGGAACGCAGCCGCTTGGAGCAGCGACATGTTGGCTGCGTACACAAGGCCGAGGTTCCACCCATAGTAGAGGAGGAGGCCGGCGCGCTCGAGCAGCGGGTACTGGACCTTGTCAAAGGTGCCGCCGGGCCCAACGTTGTAGAAGGCGTACATGGCCGACTGGATCACCCACGAGATACGCGCAAAGAGCAAGATGGGAAAGTACACGTACGCCTGGTAGCGCATGAAGAAGAGCCCGACGGGCGAGTCGACCGCGTGCTGCGCCATCTTGAGCGACCACGCGAGAATCGGCATCGTGTCAATGTCCGGGTCGCCGTGGAAGGCGATCTCGGGCGTCGCGTGGAGGTTGGGGATCGCATGGTGCGTGTTGTGCTTGTTCTTCCACCACTGCACCGAGAAGCCCTGCCAGAGGTTGCCGACCATGACGCCGACGAGGTCGCCAAACAAGTGGTTCTCAAACACTTGGTGGTGCAGAAAGTCATGGGCGAGCCAGCCGCACTGCTGGTAAAAGAGGCCAAGGATGACAGCCGCGACCATGTACATGGCCGTCGAGTCAAAGTGGAGGCAAATGGCCGCCGACACAAGCGCAATGCTCAGCGTCGAGGCGCACTTGTAGAGGTAGTAGAGCTTGCTCGAGTCGTACAAGCCGAGGCGCTTGACTTCAAGGCGCAGCTTGCGGTACGACGCAATAAAGTCCGACTGGCTCTTCTTGACCTCGTCCGAGATCGACGTGTCGACGGCCGCCGTCGACTGGTCGACGTCGCCGACGTAGTACTGCTCGAGGAGCTTGAGCGCCGAGCTCGGGTGGAAGACAGCGAACGCATCGGTCGCGTCTTCGCCGGCCTGCGTGAACATGACGACACCGCCCGGGTGGTCCTCAAAGGCCGAGATGTCGTACACCTTGTGGTGGATCACGATCCACGCGTTGTCTTGGCGGTTGTGCTCACGGATGGTCGCCCACGAGATCTTCTCGGCCTTTTGCCCCTGGACCATCTTGCTTGTTGGCGAATCCACGAATGGCCTCCGTCGCGCATGCCACGACGACCACAGCACGTGACGCCAACACAGCCATTCCCTTATGCAGTACATTGTGTTGCGATCCAACCAATTGCCTTGCGCGCATGCATGTCAAGTGTACTTGATTGTGCAATCCGCTGCCATCAAGTGGAACTTGCGGTTCGAAGCGGTGCCCGTCCAACTGTACGCTCAAGCTCACATTTGTATTGACAATGTACGATATTCCCGTACATACGCCAATGTACGTACGGCACGGCAATCCAAGCAGGCGTGTCGACGGTCGTTGTCACCACGGACGCCTGCCTGCGTCATCGATAGAGCCAATCAGCGACCGACGCCGTGTCTCTGCGCCGCTACGATGACGAAGCAGTTGGATTTGGCGCCAACGAGGATGGTGCTATGAAGCCCAAGGAAGATCGCAATGGCTTCGAAAATCTTAGTAAAAAGTGGCGACGTGAGCTCGGCGGTGGCCGACGCTGCGGCCAAGTGGGTCCCGAGGACTCTACCATTGATCAACCAATGCCAAGTTTATGCTGATGTTGATGATACAACATCTGCATAGACAAGGGCGTTGACGTAGCAGGCGGCGCGGTGCTGCTGCATGGCCGTGCGCGGCCTGTTGGGTCCATTCATCGGCTAAATCCAACTCTATCTGTCGTCCGGCGGTTGCGCAGCTACTCGTAGAGAACACACCTCTGCGATACTAGCTCCGCTAGCTCGAGTTGTCGTACATGTACTTCTACCTTGCGATGGCCACGAGTAAATACTCACCGGCCATCGGCCGTGCACCACCGCCTGCGCCATTCACTCGCTTCCATACAAGCTACTGCTACGTTGGGCTACTCGTGTGTGGATCCTTGAACTCAAGGTGTGAGGTCCCGGAAAGCGCTCTTTATCGATGTACCGTTAGCTACAACATGGTCGTCAACGCATGTAGTCTAGCTGTGGCGGGCAGTGTACGCCGCCTCGGCGGCCTTGACTTGGTCGTCGAGCTCGAGCCAGCTCTCCTTAAAGTACTCGCCCGAGATGACGCGCTTGGCCATGTCGAGCTTGGGCTCCTTGTGTTTCGGGTTGTTGCAGAGATCGATGGTCTTGGCGCTGGCCTTGGACTCGTCGCTGCACCAGCTCTCGCACCAGAGCCACTCTTGCGGCAGCGAGTGGATCGGGATCTGGTGCTGCGCATAGTTGGGCAGATCCTGGTCCAGATTCGAGAGCGAGTTTGGGTCCGCGCTGAGCTGGTCGTACACGGCGCGGAGCGTGTCGCCGGCCGCCATGCGGCGAAACTTCACCAAGTCGACCACGTACAAGGCCGAAATGTGGTACGGCTTGCCGCGCAAATGGTCCTTCCAGTAGCCTTGGCGCCAAAACTGGAAGCCAACGTTGCGCGAGTCGCAGAACGGCGTGTACGCATACGGCTTGCCGTGGAGGTCCATGTGCCAGAGCTCCTTCAAATCGGCGCGCACGACTTGGTCCGCATCCACGTAAATGATCTTTTGCACGCCAAGCGGGAAGAGCACGTCCAGAAACAAAATCTTGTACCTACACCAGATCTCACGACCAGATTCCTATATCTGACACGATACCCCCAGATAATGCGCTGCTTTTCGGTTTGCCGACGCAACCAGTTGGGCCACTTGTACGTCACAAGGCGAATGTCCATGCCAAACTCGGCTTGGAGCGCGGGCACGCTCTTCTTGAAATCTAGATAGTACGTGCCACATGTGAATCTGAATTTCCGCAAATCTGGAATCGAAACGTACCAGGCGACAAGAAATTTTCGAGCAACCAAAACGTCACCGGGTTGTTTGTGCGCTTCAAGACACTGAGCATCATGAGCTTGAGCATGCGTTCGTAGAGATGCCCTAGAGCATATCCATAGTATCGTATCCATATATCACACAAAGGACAATATACGCACCGGTCGCAACCGAGAAGACGTGGATCGTCTCGCCGCTGCGGGCCGCCACCACGTCCTTCACGGGCTGCTTGGTGCCCCACGACACGAGCGACTTCCAGTACGACTGTGTCGCCGCGTCCTCTTCCTTCTTCGCGGCCGGCAGGTCCTCGGGCTCCTCCAAGAGCCGCGCATACTCGTACCCACGCCGCTTCTTGACGTCGAGCTGCGTAATTGCCGACGAAAAATCATAGACAATGACGCGGGCGTGGTCGGTTGCGGCTTGGTCGACCATCTCGTACAGCTCGGACGCTCGGCCCTTGGCCAGTTCGAGGCGCCACACCCCCGGCGTCGCCTGCAGCTGAAAGTACCCGAGGTTCTTCATGACGACCGTGTCGCGGTGCAGCACGTCGGCGCCCGCCGTACGCTCGAGGACCAGCTGGAGACCGTTGGGCGGCGACGGATGGTACGCCATGGTGCGGTCAATGCACTGGCCGTACACGAGCAGACTTTGCACTGCATACATCGCAGTCGCGTCACCTTGAATGTTGTCGATGTCGGTGTCCGACGCCACCATTTGCACGTTGAAGAGCTCGGGCGTCTCGACGTTCATCGTGAGCACGGGCGGCCGCGGCAGCACGCGAAACACCGGTGCGCTTCCCCACGCATAGCGGTAAAAACGCTTGAGCGGAAACTCCGCGTACGACGGCGTCGGCGTCAGCACCAGTGTGATCTTGGCGCCAAGGACGTCCCGCATCATGCGCAAAACGACGCTCGCGCGCTGGCTCGCTTCCGAGAGCGGGTCGAGGTACGCGACGACGTCCAAGAGGCTGCGACTCGCCGCCGACGTCGCAAACGTCGTGTGCTGGTCGAGCGTGGAGAAGACCGGGCCCGTGCGCGGTGTCGCCAAGTAGGCATCGACGACTGCGAGCAGCGACTGGAGGCGCTGGCTAACATGCGCCGCGGCAGCTACGGAGAGCGCATCGTGCTTGGTTGGGGCAAAGAAGGCGCGAGCGACGGCCTTGCTGCGGTTCTCGCCTTCCCACTGCAGCAGCACCGAGAGCAGCGACGGGAGCAGTGTCTGGTCGTCGTCCAGCGACAACGGACGGCCGTTGATGAGCAACGTCGGTGTCGTGATCGACAAGAGGCTCGGCAGTGGGTGCGTGTACGCGGGCGTCTCGTCGAGCCAGCGCAGCAGGTCCCGCAAGCGCGCTTCTTCCGGGCTAGCATCGAGGTGGGTCTGCACGAGGAGCTTTGCATGCAGGACAATGTCCGCTTCCGACTTGGCCTTGCTCAGAAACCGCACGATCTACATGGCATTTGCATCTCGATATGTCAGAAGCACCTCAAGTGCGCGCACCTCGAGGAGAATGGCCAAGTACCGCGCATCGTCCACGTCCGAGATGGCGTGGAGCATGTAGCTCACACGCGACCCGATCGACGACGGCGACGTGCCGAGGTGCACGAGGCTCAGACGCACGTCCGGCGTTTCCATCGTCGTCTTGAGCGCGTTGTAAGCACTCCGCGCGCCCGCCGGCGTGTCCAGATCGACCATCTACATGCCACAATAAGGGAATCTCCTCACCCAATGGCTGTACCAAAAGAAGGCTCTGGCGCTTGGGCTTGGTCGCAGTGTGCGGCATGTGCAGATACTTGACGTCGTCCCAGACCTAGTCCGTCGTCGTCGAACATTTGGTACACGAGGCTAGGGTAACATACCGAGGACGTCAAGTGCAAGTCGAGCACGGGCACCTGCTCCGACGCATCCAGCCAACTCGAGTAGAGAGGGTAATGCCCTTCGTGGGCAAACAGCTCGTCGAGCAAGTCGGCGTCGTCAGCGAATTTTCCAGCGCGCGCCAGCTCTTGGTACAGTGGCTGGTCCCGGCCAAAGTGGGCCATGAGCCCTTCTTGGAGGTTCAGGTCGCGGCGCAAGACGCCGTTAAAGACATACGAGTCGAGCGGCAGCTGCGACGCAAGCACAACGTCTGTCATGGCCCACACGCTATCGTCCTGGCTCGCCGACAGCAGCAGGTCGCGCGCCGCCTCGAGGGCCGACCCACGGTCCAAGCGGTGGGTCACAGCTTGGACGTAGATCAGCAGCGCTTCCTTCACGGTCACGCCACCGGCCAGCTCAACAATGCCATCCAAAAACTGCTTGGCGGCCGCGTGGCCGTGGTCGCGCGCCGCTAAGTAGAGCTTACTCACGTGGTAGGCCGTCGCGGGTGCCTTGTCGTCGGTCGCCGGCACATACGTCTCGCGGTCCTAATACCATCCTAAGATGCTATGGCCATGATGACGCGTCTACCTCGGGAGCAAGCGCGAGCAGCTCGGGCGACGTCCAGAGCACACCAAACTGAACGGGCGCGCCACGCAGAATCAAAAATTGAATTTGCTGGAGGACATTCGCCGCTTGCTTGGTCGTCGGGTCGAGCACGACAATGACCTCGTACATGACACGGCGCAGAAAAATGAGGTTCCACGCTGGCTCGGAGAGCACCGAGAGGTCGGTGGGCCACTCGGCCGTCGCTTCATCGCTCTCGATCGCGTTCAGATACAGCGGCGCCGTGCCATCGACCGGCCCACGCACGCGAACACGCACCTACAGACCATGGAAAGGGTGCGAGTAAGCGCGCAACGTGTACCTCGGCTGCTTGCGTGGACAAGGTGGTCATGGCGCTGTGGACGGCAGCCAGCGTCGGATCGTCGAGCTCCAAAGCCCGCAGCGCGTCGCCTTGTTGAACTTCGCCGGCGAGGAGCTTGACAAAGTCGAATGGATTGAACGTCACGTCACTCAAGTCGTGGGGCATGCCGTTGACCACAAGCTTGTTCAAAAGGTTCTATGCACCACGAGTTGATACCTCGATACTTTGATACTTTCAATCCCAAACATCGGGCCAGTACCTGCGTCGCGACGGTGCGGCGCGCAGTCGCCATGGCCGCAACGCGCTCGGACGGGATCAACTCGGTCGTCAACGCGAGGCCGGCCGCGTACTTAGGAAAGTTCTGGGAAAGTTGCTGGAGACGCGCGAGCGGGTCGGTCGACGCCAAAATATCGCTTGCGGCCAAGTACCCGAGGTGGTTCAATTGCCATGGCTAGCCCATCGTATAGGGTTGGGTTTGTCGTCAAATCGTGTTGTTGCTACCGCGTCTTCGTTGTTCTCTGTGGCGTTGACACTGCTAAAGTCTTCAAACTCGAGCTGGTACGCGCGCAATGCCGGCCCGGTCTCGGCGCCCTTCTTCATGAGCACCGAGACGATGAATGCATCTAAGTAGAGACGTCCATGCAACGGTCTAGAGCGGAGGCGGGGCGTACCTTCGTCGTCGTCGGTTGGCGTGTGCTTGGAGTGCGGCGTCTTGGAGTCGTCAAACGACTTGTACTCCATGTTCTTGATGTGGAGCGAGACGCCGTAGCCTTGCAAATGCACGGGCAAAACATTGTTGTGCGGTGCGTGGCGGACGATGTAGCGGATCGTCTTGGCCTCGGCGAGCGGCGCCAGCTTGGCATGGAAGGCGCGCAACGAGCTGGTCCCGAGCGTCCCGTACAAGAGCACGGTCGGCGCGTCCGCCACGTCCTTGTCAAAGACGTGGTCGACCGGCAGCTCGAAATCGTGTTCGCCCGACGCTGCACAGCTCTACATCGCATGTGTGAGCTGCATACGATGTGTCTATCGTGCTGTACGGCATCGGTGGACGGGGTGAGCAGAGCGTCGTTCCAGTTGGACGCGGCGCAGATGACACGGGCCGCGCAGCCTGTCTCGTGGTAGACGACCGCCCACGCCGACGCCGCTTCGTACGCGAGGCCACAGCCCTTGTACGCCGACTCGATTGCGAGCTACGCACGTGTCGTGAGCCAAGAGACGTGTCGAGCAAGCCCACCTGATGAAACATTTCAATCTTGGGCGACTGTGCGCGCGTCTGGAGAACGAACGGCAGCAGCTTGGCGATCGTCGCGTCCGGCGGCAGCACGTCGTGGGCAGCGTCCAGCGCAAGCGTCGTGTAGTTGATGCTGTCAATGTGCTGGATTGCTTTGGCGCGCATGTCGATGGCGTCGACGTAGCGGAAGAAGAGCGACGGGTCCACCTCGGCGAGGAACGCCGACGTCTCGAGCACGGGGTACACGGGCGACGAGAGGTACGTAGTCGTGAGGTCGACCTCTACCTTCCTGCTGCCAGCGACGGTCATCGCCAGGACCAGCGCCATGGCCGCGGCAAGCCACCGGCGGGCGCAACCTGAGGACATCGCTACACGTCACCACAATCAGGAAATTGAACCGGGTCGTGCAAACCGGTTGAGGTTGGAACCGGTCATTGAACCGGCTCGTGAAGAGCTGTTGTACCCTCTATATCCGGCATAGTATCCGGATGACACGCATCGATCAGCGCGCGATCCCAGGCCATCGTGATGAGCCCGATACCTTGGATCTACCTGGTAGTTTGATCTCTAGAGAAGGAGCTAGATCAACGAGTAGCATTCCACGCCCCGTTGGCGGATGACGGCGCAATATGCAGTCGCTGGCAGCTGACAAAGTCCCCCTCCTGAGTGTTGGAACTTTAGTACATTCCGATCAACTCGTTCTTTGATCGACTACATCTCGCCAAGAAGAAGCTTGCGATGTGCGTGTACCCGTCTTTCACCATGTTTACTCGGCGTAGTATCGGCTTCAACACTGCCTTGCTGGCGCTAGACGGCTAGATAGCGACACCTGAGTCGAGGCTCGAACCGTCGACGACCGCCATGACGATAATCGGACGCCTGAGAGGCTCTTGAAGCACACGCTTGCGTCGAGAGCTCATTTTCTAAGTGTGCGCCTAGCCATGAAGCTCGTCTCGTCGTCACTCGCTTGCCTGCGCCGTGCCCGTCGCTGACGCCCACAGCCGCCTTCTCACGCCGCCCCACCGTGGCTGGATTGGCCGTCTCCCTGGTTTCAAGTACGTGTCCATCCACTATGACGACAACGGTTTGAGCGCCGGTGGCGTCGGCGTGACGAGTAAAGGACATCACGGCGCGTGCGGCGATCTCTACTCGAGCGCGACGCCCGTGCTCAATAGAACGGCGGCACGTACGGCTTGTTCCCGATGCATGGCGCCAAGGACGTTGGCGGCTGCTACGCACCTGGCGCGACGCTGAACCTCGAAGTTCAAATCACGGCCAACCACTAGGGGTATTTCACCTTTGGCCTTTGCAAGCTCGCAACGCCCTCGGTCGTGGAGACCGAAGGTTGCTTTGAGCCGCTTTTGCAGCCCAATGGCCAAGACAAGGGCCACTACCACCCGGCAACCAAGTGTTCAAGATGCGGTACAACCTGCCGCGCAACGTCACGTGCGACGGCGACTCGCACTGCGTCCTTCGCTGGTGGTACATAGGCGGCAACAACTGGAGCGAGGCGGACCAAGTGCAGTTTTGGAACTGCGCCGACATTTACATTAGCACCACATGCAGCAAAGCCTCGAAACCACTACAACTCCTCCAGCGATTAGCTGTTCGATTCATGGGCCAACCGCGCCGGATCCCGAGCGACAGTAATGGGAATACACCGAACTGTTGTTGTTGTCCGTTGAATGTCAACGATGCGCCGAGTTTTAGTACTGCAGGATAAAGCAGAGGTTTCAAGCCACCTCTTGGTAGCAACAAGGGCGCGGCTTGAATAGTAAAGGATACTACATGTTGGCGGATACTACGTCACTGCACAGTCAACTTTCCTCGTCAGCAACCCAACAGCTTGGGACAACCATCGCGTTGGTGTCTGCGATGTGAAAGCTTGGCAAGTTGCGTTTGCCTTTTTCGTCTGATACCAATCTGAGTCGAACTAGTGCAGTCAACTACAGTATCCTACTAACTTTCTGTTCTTGTGACCGTTCCGCCGACCCCCCCCGCCCTGCATGGGAATGGCGCTTATCGGGTTGAGAAAGTACCCGACGCGACACACAACTTTCCATGTCAACGTCGATCCGAAGTTTCTTCCGTGGTCACCACCCATAGGCTTGCGCTGGCAACTGGATCTGTTGGCTACTAGCACGAGCTTGGTCATGAACGATTGCAAAGTATGGAAGCAGCAAGGTAGCCTCGTTTCAAGTCAATAGTTGGCTTCAACCCTACCCCTACCAGAAACATCCACCCCATGTGCAACGCGACACCGTCAAGATCCCACGGCATCGGGCAAGCGTGCACGCGTAGCGCGTGCATAGGAACGCGTGGAAACGGCAGCGACGTGCGTCGTGATGGTCTCAGATGCAAGGTCAACGTGTCATGCTCCCACAGCACCTTTTTCTACTTCAAGCCATCAGATTTGCTCGCACGCGCCATCTCGATCTCGCCTCATTATTCAATTGTCTCTGTCAAACCACCACCACCAAACACGATGAAGCTTGTTGCCTCGACGCTTGCTCTTGCTGCGATGCTTCACAACACGGACGCCCACGGCCGCATGACCAAGCCCGCGCACCGCGGCTGGATGGGGCGCCTCCCGCAGTTCTCCTTTGTGCCCATCGACTATAGCGACAACGGCTTGAACGCGGGCGGTGTCGCGGCCACGACGTCGGGCCCCCACGGCGTCTGCGGCGATCCGTATACGCAGGCGGCGCCCCGCGAGCACGAGACGGGTGGTATCTACGGCCAATTCCCAAAACACGGGGCCCGCGCCATCACGGGCTGCTACGCGCCGGGGGCCGTCGTCGACATTCAGATCCAGATCACGGCCAACCACATGGGGTACTTTACCTTTGGTCTCTGCAAGCTCAATGGCAAGAACGACAAGGAGACCGAAGAATGCTTCCAGTCGCTGACGCAACCCGGTGGCGCCGAGCGCTGGCCAGTGCCATCTGGCAACGACTTTTTCAACATGCAGTACAAGCTCCCGAGCGGCGTCACGTGCGATGGCGACTCGCACTGCGTCCTTCGCTGGGTCTACACGGGCGGCAACAACTGGGGCGCCGCCGGCCAAGAGCAATTCTGGAACTGCGCCGACATTTACATTAGCAGCACGTGCGGAAGCCCGTCACCGGTGACGTCCGCGCCCGTGGTGCCGACGGCTGCGCCAGTGACCCCAGCGCCAGTGGTGCCAACCGTGGCACCGACGCCGCCGCCGTCCGACGTTTGCAAGGGCAACACCAACGTGTGCTTTTGGCCGCTGACCAACCAAGTCGTGCAGTACCCGAAGGACGACTGCATCAAGCAATCAGCATTCGTTTGGTGCCCATAAGCTCTTCCTTGGCGCCGACTCTACGTAACTCTGCCCATAAATGGCGTAATGGAATGTGTATTTTTTGTGGCATGTCATTGCATGTTGGCAGCAAATAAGAGGTAACGAAGGAGCAATGGGACGTCTACTGCCCACCTATTTAGTGGCCTGCATCAAATCTCGACGATAGCTCTTTTTATACGGATACGGACGATGTATTTACAATATTTTTGCAAGGCTGCAAAACCAATTTCTTTCTGACTGCAGGACGCATGAATGCTCCCACGAGTATTATCGTTACGAGACGCCACAATGAGACAATATGTGCACACATCAACATATGTTGAAAGGTGAGCATCCCACTGCTGATTCAGGTGGCCGCATCGCGGGCGCCAAGAGTTGGAGGATGATGACAGACGTTCGTGCCGGGGATTCGGACGTTGAAGTTGGTATCGATAGAGGGACCATGATGCAGCACCCACTCGACTACTAGTAGTTTGCTTCGTCATCTCGTTGAACTTGGGTCGTATCTACTTGCCCGTTCTCTCGTTGCAGCTCGTTCTCGCGTACTTAATGGGTCAACCAATACAGTACCCATGGTGCATCGTACTAGAGTATGCACGTCATGGACTGGAGTCAAGAGAACGCGTGCAAATCAGCGGCTTCTTCATCTGAGTCGAGGTTCCCAGAATCACATTCTAGTACGGATCAGACACACCACTCGGTGCACAAGTGCAGGACTCGCACCGCAGTGTGCAATTGACCCAACCGCCATGAAGCCCATCTATCTCGGATCGCTTCTCGCTCTTCTTGCCGTGTCGGTCGACGCGCATGGCCGGATGATTGCACCGCCGGCGCGCGGGTTCATGGGCCGCCTTGACCAATTCAACTTTGCGCCAATCGACTACGACGACGACGGTCTCAGCGCCGGTGGCATTGGCGCGACCAGTGGCGGTCGCCATGGCGTCTGCGGCGATCCGTACTCGCAGGCGTCGCCCCGGGACCACGAAACCGGCGGCAAGTACGGTCTCTTTCCCACGTACCGAGAGCGCGCCATTACGTCGTGCTACGCGCCGGGGGCCGTCGTCGACATTGACATCCAAATCACTGCCAATCACCGCGGCAGCTTCACCTTTGGTCTCTGTAAGCTGCTCGGGAAGAATGACAAGGAGACCGAGGACTGCTTCACCGATCTTTTGCAGCCAAATGGCAACAAGCAGTGGCCGCTGCCCGGTGGTAACAAGAACTTTCGACTCCAGTACGTGCTCCCGTCGGGTGTCACGTGCGACGGTGATGCCCACTGCGTCCTGCGGTGGTGGTACACGGGTGGCAACAACGCCGGCGTCGGGCCCGACGGCCAAGAAAAGTTCTGGAACTGCGCCGACATCTACATCAGCAACGCCTGCAACGGCACCAACCCGTTCCCGACGCCTGTCCCAACGCATCAGCCGTCGCCAGACGATGGGTCCGGGGGCTACTACCCGCCGACGCCCACCACAAAGGTGCCGACACCAACGCTCGTGCCGACAGTGACGCCACGCCCGACAGCAACCGCTGCACCCACCACAAGTGCGTCACCGCCTACAGGCGCACCAGGCGACAAGTGCAATGGACAGAAAAACGTGTGTTATTGGCCGACGTCGCATCAAATCGTACCCTACAGCAAAGCAGACTGCGTGCTTTTTAGCTCGTTTGTGTGGTGCCCGTAGGCATCGTGCCAATGCAGGTGCAGCGACGGCCAATATAATTTTTTGGGTAGTACAGTCTAACCTAACCACCGACGACATGATCATGTCTCTATTGGCGAGAAAGCACCATTTTAAAAACATTTTTGTTTTTGTTTTTCCAGACGGTTATATAGAGCACAATAGTGTCGCAAATCATTTATTCTTTAGTACTTGGACGTCAACGGAACGCACTGCGAGTACCACGCGTCAAACTTGTGGCACTTGTTTCCTGCGGTGCACTGGGTGTTGCCCGTGTAGTCCTTGCCACCGCACTGCTCCCAGACCTTCTGCGCGACGCCATCGTGGACGTTTGGCTTCTTGGTGTGAGGCTTCTTGCTCGGCTTCTTGGTTGGCTTGTGCGGCTTTGCGCTAGGCTTCACCGAAGGACGAGGTGTCGGCGTCACAGGTGCGTCTGTCGGGTACACGCTCGGATCATCCGACGGTTCGTCAGAAGGCTCATCTGAGGGCGAGT